AGCAAAAGCAATAACCAGATTCATTAAAAAAAACACTTTCTTCTGGATACTTACTGGATGCTTGACTTTATACTGGGGCCTTAGACAATTTCTTCTTCGCGTATCTTGACGCAGAGCGGCACATTGCATTGCGGCAGCGTACACTTCATCGCATGGTACGCGAACAACTCGGCCGTGATCCGCGCTAGTCGGTAGGTACGCCACTTTTCACTGTGGGACGCCCAGCACACACTGCGCAGGAATCGCTTCATGTGTGGGCAGAAGACGTGGAACTCTGGGTCTGTGCACTTGACATCGTCGCAGTTGCAAGCGTGGACCAGCAGCAGGTTGCTCTTCTCCGGGTCTCCTTCCAGCACCTGTGCGATCTGTTCAGCAACATCACCATCAGAACAGCACTCCATAACCGATTATCCATTGCAACATACCGGTATCGACGTGGGGTGATTCTCCGTTGGAGTGTTATCAGGAACTGGAATGGACTGAGGCGGCTTCGGCGTTGCTGCTTCAATACCGTCCGTTGTCGCATTCCCCTCACTCTCAGCAGCAGCTCGCATTTGTTCCTCCTTGACACTTGCTGTTGACGTAGTTGGATACTTGACTCTGCATTTGGGGCAGTACCACATTTCATCTTCACCTGGTACTTTAGACAGCGGCGGCTGCAGACAGAAGATGTGATACTCTGCATTGCAGTCGTCACACAGGATGATCTCATTCTCTCGGTCGGAATTCTTGCAGACTTCACACGCGGTTTCTTCCTCTTCTTCTTCTTCATCCTCTTCCTCCATCTCCACGTCCCTGGAATGATCCACGTCCTGCTCTTCGTGCTCGATCTGCGGTTCTGGTTGCTGTGGCTCCATCTGCTGGGGACTCTGTTGCTGCTGCTGTGGGCCGTCCCCTTCAAAGTCGCTCAGTTCGTCCATAGGGTTGACCTCGCGTGTGTCCACCTCGCTAGACGACTCGCTCTGGTAGTCACGAAGGTTAATAAACTGTGGTGTCGAGCCGCCTGAGCTGCTACTGCCGTTGGTGGTGCCATTGGTGAAGCCATTGGAGGCTGGTGTTGTGGTGACCATTGTTGCTGCGGCAGTTAGGACATAATAAGAAATATATGGTTACAAATCACATTATCGACAATGGAAATGTGATATGTCACTTAGAAATGGAAACCTACGGGGCGGCTCTGCCTTAACGGCAGGTGGTGCTGGCTGATAGCGCGAGCCACGACCAATGTTCGCCCGCGGCGCTGGTTGTCCCGGAAACTTGGAGATAGTGAGCTTCACGAACGCGTCGATGCGCTGCAAATCGCGGTCTTGCGCCACCGCGTCCTCCCAATTGAACCGGACGCGTGGTGTGGTCATAGTGTCCTCAAATTGGGGTTTTGGTTAACATGTGAACGACTTAAGCTTACAGGATAATTTAGGACCAGACAAAATTCAGACAATATTTAGTGACCCAGATTTTAGCTCCATTATTTTACCGGTATTTTAGCCCGGTACCGGGCTCGCGTTTCCCAAATAGAGCTTGTTGATTGGCTACACCAAGTGAGCCTATTTATCTTTGCTCTATCTCGGATTTTGTTGATCGATCTCTGTAGATATTAATAGCCCTGCGTCTTTGAAATAATATATTTTGAAAAGGGTTTTAATTCAAGTACCGCACCTCACAAAATAAAGGCTTAGCGGTTTTATTTTGCATTTTTGAGAGGATTTTCTTAGCACAAAGATTGCACATTTTGTTTTAGGTAAATTTGGCAGCAAAACGGATTCTTTATTAATTCAGACGCTCTGGCAAAGTGGCGTGTTTTCAGATTTGAGCGGCAAAGGAAAATATTCGTCCAAGTGGAGAGGGCAGTGTTCCGTGTCCAAGTACAAGTAATCGAGAAGATTGTATCAATGCCAACCAAAATCAAAACAAAAGTGTATGTCGAAGTCCAGGACTTCGTCATTTCCTATCCCCGAAATTTTTCATTTATTACTTCGAAGTACTTCTAAAGTAAATCCACGTCTATTGAAATGGTTGTCGAAGGGGGCACAGGAGGCCCTTCCGGTTCAACTTTGGCGTCGATAATGCCGATTTCAAGGGAGATGCACTGTTGACATCGTGGATCCACGCATAGTTTTCGTGTTGGGAAACGTCCCACGTAGCGAAGAGTTGTTTGTAGTCATGCGGAAGGTTGAACCGGTGGTCGTTCGGTTTGGAGTGCGGTGGAAGTCTCCGTGGTCCTAAGCACGACCTATTGGCACTTTCGGATGTTCGAGACGAGATCTTTGTCTGCAAATCTAGCGACGACGACGTCGATAATACTGCAACTGTGTCACTGCTGACTTTCTTGGTAACAGGACTATAGCAGTGAGGTTGACGGTCTCTTTGAGCTTGAAGTATTTTATCTACAATGTCAAGCTGGCTCTCGGGCCGCAACTCGTAACCTTTTTCCAATTTAGCCAGCACGCACTTCTTCAACAAAAGGAGCGCATGGATAAGTGTGTGCTGAGTGGGGAGCACGGGTGTTGTGCGTGTCGCTCCGCTTTGCTGGGTAGAGTAGAAGATTCCTTCGCTTTCCTCAATTTTTCTCGTCGCGAATGCAAGTGAAACTGTGCAGTAGATAGCGCCATCATGGTCTCCACCGAGTAGCAAGAAGATCCGGATCTTCTTCTTGTTAGTTGCACTCAAGGGTTCACACACTTGCACAGTCATAACACGAGGCACATACTCCAACTGAACCGCCTGGTCTTGATTGTCTACTGCAGTCTTGTTACACGTATTGTCCAAGCTGGGGTCTTCAGTACGCTTAGTAACTGTGCGAGCTGTTGTGACGGAGCGCTGGGTTTGCATCACGGACCCTTCGTAGTCCGAATCGGCTACCGAAGCTTCGATCTTATCACTCGTCATCGTCAACTTCTTCCGTGTCCCTGTTCTTTTCTTGCTGGAAACGTGGTTCAGGTGAGTTTTCGAGTTTTGGTGTTTGCTGCTTAGCAGTGGTTGGCTTGCCGCGTTTGCGTCCGTATTGGCAAGTATCGATTTGCGAGATTTAATGGCAGCCGCCGCTTGTCTCCTTCCACGGTCTCGAGTACCAGTAGAAGATCCATTGCTGCCACTTCTGGTACCTGCTGAAGGTTTCCGTGAGTCGTTGGTACTGTTAGCGTCGTCTACGGTAGGCGCAAGCACGGGAGTCGTTGGCACAATGCTGCCTTTAATTGCTGTCGCTGCTCGATCCACTCGGATTTTGATCGCTGCGAGTTTTGACGTAGCTGAATGTCGTTTTGCTTCCCGGGCTACTTCTACGACTTGGAGCAGCTGGACCAGCGTGAGTTCACCACTGTTAGCGTCGCTGGACACGATGTTGGGTAGCTTAGCTAGAACTGTGTATGGGTCCGGAAGATCTACTCGCATGCCCAAGCACGAAAGCAACGAAAAGACTTCTTGTCGCGGTACTGCGCCACAATCGTTGAAATCGAACACGTGGAACTTGCTCACGATGCGTTCAAGTGTGTCGGGGTGAAAACTCGCCACCAGTCGATCAGGAATGTCGTAGATTGCTCTCAGTTTCTCTTGTTTCAGTTCCTCGAGTTTCCTGTCCCGTGCACAGTCGGCTATGACCTGCTGGAATGCTGATTGCTCTCGGAAATCTTGATGCGAGTCTTGTGTGTGGAAGAGCTGCGACTGTTCTGGCGTCCAAAGCGACGCTGAACCGTAAGAAGAGAAGTGGCGTAGCAAGCCTTTCGCAGTTGAAGTCGCAATGCCGTCCACGCTGGAGCTTTCGAGTAGGATTGGAAGGATCTCTTGTAAGGCGGTCTCAGGACGTGCCGATGGATTCAGTAGCATTGCACAGTTCAATAGAGCCCCACAAAAGAGTGGAAATGTGAGAGCAGGCTGGCCGTCAGCATCGAGATACACTCGCATTTTTCCCATGGCTGCTTGGGCAAAGACTCGCTCGACGGATTCAGCATGAAGCTTCTTCTCGGCCGAATCGGTAGAGTGGTCGCTTAGAAGCCGTGCATCGCCAAGGATCTCTTGAAGTCGTGCACAGCTGATGGACGGGAGAGTGTCGCCAATGGTGGAGGAGTCGTAAAACTTGAACAATCCGTAAAGTTGCTCAATCTGGCACGTAGTCAACGTCTCAAGTGCCGAGTTGTTTAGATTCCAATGGAACTGCGGAGTCAGGGCAGGTGTCGGGCACGTGTGGGGGCGATCGACAGCTACCGAATCGGCACTATTCCTCGAAGCATGGCGCAGTAGATTTGAAGCCTCGGAAGCTTGTTTCGGTAACCACTTCTTTCTTTTCGGAGTTGGCGCAGTGGAGGCGCGGCTGTCCATGCTCAACTCGGTCTGCTTCATGCTTCTGAAGGCAGGCATCGATTCATACATTACCTATTTGGGGGTACCGTAACGGCGATGAGATTGACAGCAGGCGTCAATGCCGCGTCAAACACGCAACATTCATTCGATGCGTATTTAATAGCTTAGCAGTAGCGGACAAGGATTGCAGACAGTAGGTCCAAGTGTTATTTTACGCAGCGACAAACCTTTGGTGATCTCATTAACAACTCACAGCATCGTTCACCAGGACGAAGACGTTTAGTGTTAATATTTAGCCCGTACCTGCAGAGATGAGAGAGAAAACTATCACAGCAACACTTGGCCGCGTAGCTGTCGACACATCGGTACGTTGCACTGCAGCGCCTGGCAGTGGAGCGCATGATACGCGAAGAGCTCAATGACAGCATTGCCGATGGGGTACGAGCGCCACTTCTCGCTATGAGAGGCCCAGCAGGCCGTACGTAGGAACCGCTTCATGTGCGAGCACAAACTTCGGAACTGTGGGTCGCGGCAGTGCGCGTCATCGCAATTGCATGCGTGCATCAGCAGCGCGTTGCTCCTGTCCATTTCGTCCTCCCCAACTGCCGCTTGGAACGCCTCCGAGACCTGAACGTAGCAAACAGATTGGTTAGTATTGGAGTGGGCGATTATAGACACTAAATACCGCGCTACCTTGTGCGCTGCAGCGTCGCCATCGCCGTTCGGTTTGGAGCCATTGGTGCGCTCCTGCTTGATCCTGACGTCCGACATTATTGATAGTGTGACCTCATGAAGAGTTTTTTATGCATATATTTCATATAAGGGGAACTGAGAATGTCAGCATATTCTTTGAAGAGGTAAATAGGTATCGAGCTGAAAGATACGTCATGGAAGCATGCCTGCCCGGAGAATCATATGCTCATTGCGAAAGAGACAGCCGACCCTCACACTCCTCGGCAGCACTTCGCCTTCAACGCGCGTTCTCCGCTCCCAGGGCGAGTCACAGGTTGGCCATGCCGCCGTCAGCTACCCCACCGTCTCCTTCCTCCGATGAGCTATCACTCAGCTGCGTTGGAGCTCTACTATCGTCGCTATGGACGTCAGCATGCGAGGCCCGGCAGAACATCACCCGACAACGGTTACTCTTCTTCCTCAAGCAGCATGTGCCCATCTTGGAATGGCTACCCTCGTACGATATCCGTGAAGACTTGCAGTTCGACTTGGTGTCGGGGATTACTGTCGGACTCATGCTCGTACCCCAGGAAGTGTCCCTCAGTGCCATCATGGGGGTACCCCCCATCTACGGGCTCTACACAGCAGCAGTTGTACCCATGATCTACCCACTATTTGGTACATCTCGGGTACTATCGGTGGCCAACGGAGCGGAAGTGAGTCTTCTAGTCGGCTCTGCTATCAAGAAGGTGGAGAGTGAAGAAGAGAGGATCGCTACCGGTATTTTACTGAGCTTCTTGAGTGGCGTGGTGCTGCTCTTTATGGGCATGTTCCGACTTGGCGTTATTGCAGATTTCTTCTCTAGACCCGTTATGGGCGGCTTTATCTCGGCTGGAGGAGTACTCATCATGTTGTCCCAAGTCGCGAGCTGGTGGGGACTGGAAGTCAAGAGCCGAGATTTACCGGTATTGACGGTATTGGATTTGTTTCAACACTTCCCAGATCTCAATGGACTGAGCTTTGCCGTGGGAGCGTTCTCGATTATGGTGCTAGTAGGGATGCACGAGTTGAAGAGGCGAGTGGTGAAGGAGCTGGTGAGGGTCGAGGAAGAGTTTGAAGACCAGTTCGCCATTGAGACGTCCAGAGCTTTGACTCAACTGTCGATGAGTGTGAGCTCTGCTAGTGGAGACAACGGGGACATGAGCGAGAATGAAGAGGACAGCCAAGATGCCAAGGACGACCGACGAGCTGCGAGTTACGAGGGAGATATTGAGCTGGGCGACGTCCCTAAGCCCAAGAAGCGACAAGCCAGAAAGAATGACGCTGGAGTGGATGCGGAAGGGCTGTCGGTCTCTCCACGTGGCTCGAGGTGGGCAGATTTACCGGCCGTGTTCACGACAGGCTCTCTGCGACGTCGTGACTACGTCTTGTCGTCACCTTGGGGGTCGTCGGCGCGCAATAGTCGGGATCTTGGCTCGAGTGATTTGGATTTGGCTCGGTCGTGTCGTCAGAGAGACTTGGCTGCAATTACTCGTAGCAATCGCAATGGACGCCTGGACGATGAAGGTGTGGGGTTCTCTCTGTCAGATGAAGACTATATTACTATCGAGAGGCCTCTGGATTTTGGCACTCGACCAGATGGTGCTGGGGCTTCTGGAATGCCTCGCTCTAGCTCGGATGAAACAGGTTCAGCTCGTCCGCCACTGCCTCGAATGAATCCAATTCAACCGAAAGTGGAGCGACCTGGACACCACGACGACAAGGACGATGGCGCTGAAGCCAAATCAAAAGCCGAAGCTGAAATGAAACGACGTGTGAAGGAACTTGCATCTCCTGCGAAGTCCGAGACAGGATCCGAGTCAGACTCGACAACTGCTTTAACTGGGCGCATGATGGCTGCGTCGTCGACGTCAATTCGTCTGCTGCGCTCCAAGATGGCAGTTCTAATCGCACTCCGGTTAGTTTGTGATCTTGGTGCATTTATGGTGTGCTTACTTGGTGGAATTGTGGGCTACATGGCGCCAGAGGGGTCTCTCAACCTAGCTGGAGACGTTCCTGGCGGATACCCAGCGCCCTTGAGGCCTTGGTATGGATTCAGCGAGAATATCATCGAGGCTGATCGTCTGTATCATCTCTTCATTGACACGCTCTCGATCGCCATCATCTCGTACATGTGCAGTGTCGCTATGGCGAAGCGGCTGGCGATCAAGGAAGGCTACAGGATTCGGCCCAACCAGGAGCTAATCGCGCTCGGATTCTCAAACCTCGTTGGCTCGTTTTTCCAGGGAATGCCGTCTACGGGCGGCCTCTCACGTACAGCTGTCAACATGCAGAATGCACGAACGCAACTCGCGAGTGTCATCACCGTGCTCGTCGTGGTACTCGTGCTGTACACGGCCACGTCCGCATTGGCCTATCTCCCGAAGGCGAGTCTGGCGTCGATCATTATCGTCGCAGGATACTCTCTTATCGAGTTGAAAGAAGCCAAGTGGCTGTATCGCGTCAAGAGGGACGAATTCTACGTGTGGCTGGCGTCGTTCGTGCTCTCGTGTCTACTCGGCGTGCTCCCCGGTCTTCTGTCCTCCATCTTCTGCTCTCTGATCGCTGTGATCTACAAGACCCGCCGCCCTACTGTATCCATGTTGGGCGAAGTAACTGATGCCGAGACGGGAGAAAACCGCATCGTGGAGCTGGACATGCATCCGGATACTGCTCGCTCCTTGTCGGATGTCGTAGCTATCCGTGTGGAAGGCGCTTTGTACTTTGCCAACTGTGAGTACATTGAGCGTGTGGTGGAGCGTGAGGTTAGGAAGCGTCATGAAACGGAGGGTGTGGCTGTGCGTGGCGTGGTGATTGACGCTGGTTCCATTATGGACTGGGACTCTACGACTATCCAGATGATGAAGCATTTAAAGGCGGAACTTCGAGGGCAAGGCATCATGCTGGCGATTGTGAACGCGCGAGATCGACTCCAACATTTGCTGCAGACGTCAGAGTTCCTCGTGGGTATCGTACACAATGACGCTCGTATTGGATTTTCAGAAGCCATTAAGGCTATCCGCGAAGAAGACATGCCTGACGAGAACCAGGCATTAACGCGGTCTTCAAGAGTGCACAGCATTTAGCAGAGGCCCTAGAATTGACACTTTGTCGCTGTAATAAATGAATGTACGAAATCTGGATGTTCGTCAAGACTTTTAAGCTGGAGCTTCTCGCCGGTCGGAGCATGTGTAGACGAAAGTGGCCCGCCTCATCAAGAGAAAAGGAGACTAATGCGCAAACATGCGCTCACCCGTTGACGTGCTGTATTCTGTTGACTGCATTGGCACAATACGCACCAATGACAACGCATAACGCACTCCCTCGGCATTCCGGCGTTGCATTGCTGACACTGTCCATGGTGAATTTGCATCCGTCAAAGATCCTACGAGCAAGCAACAAGTTCATGCTCAACCTACCAGCAGCCTTGACACTGTCAATGACAGGGCTTTGACCTTGCGGCAAGGTCAGATCTTCCAGCTCATCCATGTGCAGGGCCTGGGCAATACTGTACAATGTACAGTGTACATGTAGCTGGCCTAGACCGCATGGCGCTCGTCACTCCAGCACTGGCGATCACGTGTCAGTAATCTCAATATCCCACGCCGCCACCTCGACTGAGCCCGTCGCCTTCATTGGTGTGCAAGGACCGTCAAACCGGCGGCCATTCCCTCTCCAAAACTAGCAGCGCGTGTCACACTCTCTTTAGTCACGATGCTCATTTCTGAGCCACTTCACCGTGATCAACTGAGACCGTCCGCCATGCACGTCGGAGTAAGTCATTCCTCAATCTGCTGCGTTTAGCCCAAGCCCACAATCCACAATGGCTTCGTGCATCCGCCAGTTGACGGGCCATCGCGAGAGCGAGCGATTCGCTCTGCCCAAGAGGACGTGGATGCAGCAGCTACAACACTACGCGCCGATCTTCCGCTGGTTGCCGCAGTACAACGTGGCTAAAGACCTCAAATTCGACATCGTGGCTGGTATTACTGTGGCCATGATGCTCATCCCTCAAGAAGTATCGTTGTCGACGATCATGAACGTCCCAGCCCACCACGGCCTGTATACGGCTGCCACGGCCCCCTTGGTGTACGCTGTCTTCGGCTCCAGCACGGTTCTCTCCGTCTCCAGTGGCTCTGAAGTGTCACTGCTAGTCGGTACCATTCTCGAGGACATTGACGACGAGAACGAACGAGTGGCCACCGGTATCATGATGGCCTTCTTGAGTGGCTGCATCCTGTTGATCGTACGGATGAGATGGCCCGTTTGAAAGCGAACGGCATCACCACGTGCGGTGTGGTGCTGGATATGTGCAACATGAATGACCTGGACGCTACGACTATCCAAGTTCTGTCGGATATGCAGGAGAAGCTGGCGGTGCGCAAAATCCGTTTTTCCATTGCGAATGGAGGCGGTGCGTTTACTGCGAGATCTGCCAGCCTCGGTCATTACGTCTCCGTCCTCAATGTCTCGACTGTCGACGGTGCAAGACAAAGTGTAAGAAAGGGTCGAAGGTTCTTAAAGTGAAGTTATCCGTTTTGAATAAGCGGTTTTACCAAGTCGAAGGTCTAGATCAAGTGTGTTTACCCTCCAGTGCGCGGCTGGCTACTGATATCCGAGCCACAGTCCTTGCATCTTGTGGCTGCCCCTTTCACAAACTCCTTGCAATAAGGGCACTGCTTCTTGACGCCCACTTTGAGCTTGAACACGAACTCCAATGCTATAGAAGAAAGCACAGCCACCACTTTAAGTTAATTCCTTTTTACTCTTCCAAACCACTGGCCAGAAGCATTTACACACCTTTCTTGACGGCAATAAACAAGAAGAGAGCGTTGATAACAAAGTTCATGATGTTTTCGATGAACAGCCCGTAGTTGATGGTCACAGCACCGGCATCTCGAGCTGAAACATTGTCGATTCGAATGAGCACGACTATCAGCAGCTGCGTGAAAATCTCCCGTCTTACCTTCCTTCCACGTCTGCCATGTTTCTCCGGAGCACACGGTGGTCGTTGACGGGCATCGCACGGGCCAGTAGTGGTTCGCTATGCCTCGCTCTGAAGTAAAGTATCGAGTTAGTATTTTTTTCGTCACAACCACCTTGTTGGTAAGTAAGTACTGTTTTGATACCTGTAAATAGGCTGATGATCGGCGACAAAATGTCCACGACCAAAGAGTTGAGAATAGCGGAGAAGGACGACCCCAGAATGAGACCCACCGCCATGTTGAGCATGTTGCCCTGCTGGATAAACTCCTGGAAGTCCGTGAGCAACGCTCGCGTTGTTACCAGCTCACGACTCGCCAGCTCCTGTACGCGGCCAAGCAGCGACGCATTTTCTGGTGGGGGAGGCGATGCAGCGAACGGATTCCAACGCATGAAGGGCGCAGATAGTGAAGGGCCAGAGAAACTTTTACTTTGAATATATGGACGGGATTTCGTCAGCTAGCGGCAGAGGCGTCAAGACTTTCAACAGGTGTGTACCATGTGGCAAGACCGTAGCTACAGCGACCATGGATGTGGTTGCTACACAGAGAATACAAACGCGCTTTTGGTGAAGGACGAGGGAGCAGTGCTAGAACGTTAAAGAAAAGGTTTATCATCAACGATAACTCAGGTAGGCGAAGTTTAATAACCCTCAACAAGAAGCTTATTAAAAGAACACTGAGTGGTGGACCGGTAATCTCAGCCAGGTGTCATCCAAAAACCTCTCGAACTTGGAGGACACTCCATGTCAGAGCAGCAATATCTGCATCGAGTTGCATCACCCTTCACAAATTCCTTACAGTGTGGGCATTGCTTCTTGACCAGCACGCTACGCTTGAACACTACTTCGAACACTGGAAACCGGTAAGTCAACAATGGTGTCAAATCGGTTTGTCCACGATCTCAAAGACAGCAGCAAAAAAAAAAAACTTAAAATGCGACGCACCTTTCTTGACCGCCAAGAACAGGAAGATGGCGTTAATGAAGAAGGTCACCGCATTTTCCATGAACAAGCCGTAGTTGATGGTCACAACTCCGTCTTTCACGAGCTGGAGGCGAAGTTACCGTCAGCAAGACAGTTACCCAACGAGGACAAATGCTTTCATTTTGTTATCAGGTACCTTGTTTCCAAGTCTCCCAAGTCTCACTTGAGCAACTAGTGGCAGTTGTTGGGCACCATACGACCCAGTAATAGTTGGCGAGGCTCCGGTCTGTTGTACAAATTGGTATCAGTACATTCTATCATTATT